CATGTGAGACCAGCATGTTTTCGTGAGACCCGTGAGACCAGCATTTTACACTTGAAACTTCACAGCAAAATGCTGTGAAGGTAACTTTTTAAAACCTTCACAGTGTTTTTGCTGTGAAGGTTTGACTTTTTTTAAACCTTCACAGCGTTTTTGCTGTGAAGTTTACTTGTAAAAATATGGTCTCACGGGTCTCACGAAAACGGGCTGGTCTCACGTGAACCCAACCCTATATATATATATATATATATATATATATATATGAGAGAGAGAGAGAGGGGGGAGGTTTAGGAGAAAACCCCTAAAAAAAATGAAAAACCGAGAAGCATTCTTGTAACCATTCATCTGGACAACATGCACATGTGCATACGAATAATTGAATTTGTTTCTTGGTTTTTTATGCATGTGTGCATATCGGACAAATTGCTTACAAGTTACTTATATGCACATATGCAAACCGTCCAGATTATGAACAGTTACTAGAGTATCTCCCAATTTTAAATCTTTTTTTCCCTAAACCCGATCATACAATGATATTCTTGATTATCAAAAGTTGTGATTTAGAATATTGATAAAAGAGGAGAGGAAAAGGTGACGGAAAAGTGACGAACGAGAATAGCGTTGGACCAATGAGAGTAGAGATAGCGTTGGACCAATGAGAGTAGAGATAGTTATACAAGGTAACGAAAAAGAAAAAGAAAGGATGGATAGAGGAAGATTTGATGGGCATCGACCAGAATCTAAATCAAGATAAAGAGACAAGGTAGTCGTACGGCATGCATGTTGGTGAGGCATGGCAACCAACACTTTTGTAGGATTTTTGGTACCATCGGTGGGTGGTGGTTGAAAAGACCCAAAGAGACCATTGAATGCTTTTCATTGGCCAAACACTTTTACAGAATTTGTAGTAGTGGGAATCCTTTTGCAATTCCCTTTTCCAACTCATCTCAAAGCTCAAATACTATAGGATTCCTTTTTATTTTATTTTATTTTAAATATAACATCTTTATGTAAAGGCATCATATGAGTAAGTTACGGTTTTCGTCCCTCTCGTTGTTCAAGATTTCGGATTGGATCCCTCGAACAAAGTAATTACAGATACGGTCATCAGGGTTTCGTTTTTGTTACGGTTTAAGTCTCTTTATCCTAACTCTACTGACTGTTGTTCGGTTAAGTGAGGGATAATGTTGTCTTTTTACCTTTTCTCTTTTAAAAACATAACAAATAATGCATATAGGGGTCATTCAAGGGAGAACTGATTAGTTTGTGGTAACTGTGAGATCCAATATCAACCACAAATCCACGGATAAATTAGGAAATTAATAATTATGGTAGTTTGAGTTAAAATTATAATTAGAGGGTATTTTAAGTATTTTAAAAAACTTCTCTTTTCTCTCTCCTCTCTTCTTTCTCCTCTCTCCTCTTTCATCTCTCCGACCTCCAATCTCCGGCATTCGGTGAACATTAATCCGGCAGGTACCAAGTAATCACAAAGATACACAATGTGATACTCATTGTGATATATTGTGATACCAACTCAAACCTTAAAAACAAATATACACAATGTGATACCCATTGTGATATACTGTGATACCGATTTCACTGGAGGCCGGAGATTGGAGGTCGGAGAGATGAGAGAGGAGTTTTTTAAAAATACCTAATATGCCCTATATATAGAGGGTGGTTCAAATACTAACCAAGTATTTTGTATTAACCATACTAACCAAAACTAACCAATCAAATTCATTCTTTACTTTATGTTTAAATGTAACATATAAAATTAATACAAGGGTGATTATGTAATTTAACAATTATGTAACTCCCTAATATTTAATTGGGAGTTACAAATCTTTGAAGATCCCTCAATTTTCTCTGTAGCTGATTATGAATTATATCTCATTCATGTTCATGATTGTGATGTCAAGTGATGTTATACACATAATTATTTTCGTTGTGTAAGTGTAAAATATCTCCGTATCGTCCGAGTAATATGGATAATACTAGCGTAAATCATATTGATAACAATGGAAATGACGAAGTTAAACATGGATACGACTACGTTCGGAATTTGAATTCCGGTGATGATGAAGATGATCAAAGCGTGTCGATTGGTAAGTGATTAATATGACGTTTATTTTGTTGAATTGGACAACTATTGCCATTGTAAAGATGATTATTGTGTCCARATTTAATATCATCATTATGGAAACCAAATACGGTGTGAAAAGAGCATAAGTTGAAAAAAAATGTTTCAGGTTCTGTAATGATGAAGGTTGCTGGATGAAATGCATTTAACTACATATGAACACAAGGCAACTATGTGTTTCTGTCATTATTTTATACTAAAACATGTTGTTCTCTATTTATGTTTTCGTAAATATAGTGGTTGCTTATAAGTGAAGTATCAACATAGTGATTCGAAAGTCTAATCATTTTTCAATGCCCTTTCAAACTTAACAAAGCAAATGTCTAATGCAACTACCACACGTTCCTTTTGATAGTACCCATATTAATCCTTACGTAGTCATTACATGTGATATATAAAATGGTTTAATGATTCAAGCTGGTGTATTTAGAAGAGGATGCTGATATCTATAAGCACAGTGAACAACCCAAGTACAGTTGTTAAGTATGGTCAGGTTCATATGTATAATGTGAAYTACTTGTTCACATGTTCAGTCATTGGTTCATATCGCTACAAATGAACAATGTTGTTCAGTTGTTCAGATGGTCAGGCTCTATGTGAACTACATCACTTGAATCATTGGCCTGGTATTTGAAAAATGCATCATGATGTACCTGCAACATAAATGGTCATATCAGTTAACCCCATGGACAGAACAACAAATTTTGCATACCAAAGTCATCTTTGCCCAAGGATAAAAAAGAGAGGATCAAGTAACTAATGCTTTTAGTTCCAATAAGTTTAAGTGACCAAACCTGATAATCAATATCCATTTTTCCCATTTTTGGTTGCATCCTCTCATGCTGCTTCTGTTTAAGCTTCTTATTGTCCTCCTTTTTAATGTAAGCCTGAAAACAGATGCAAGAAGACGGTTCAACTCATCTGTAAAGTATGTCATAACTCAATTTCAAAGTAAAATAAAAAAGCTAAACATATTATTACTACTTTCTTCAATCATACATCGTGGATGGTTATTACATAAATTCCAGTTAGGAACATGTTTAAATACAAAAATCTGTTCATCGGATGAAAGAAACAATGATCTATCTTCAGTTGCCTTGCTTACAAGAATCTTACAGCTTATCCTTATATTTTTGGTACAAAGTAGTGTATTTGCTTGAGGCARTAATAAGATTGATATATTGTAGCTAGCAGCATATGTTAGAACTATGAACAAAGCCTTTTCTTCCCCCACTGGTTGTTGTGAGTTCACTATACCCCCTGGTTGTTGCCCTTTATAAAAAATCATGTGATACATACTAACTTTAACCTCAAAAACTAACAACTTGTTTTACATCAGGTCCTGATAATATAATTTCTTCATAACAAGAAATTGATTATGATATAGTCGAGAGTTCAGAAGGAATAAAGTTTTTTACCCCAAAGGTTGATGACACGCTTAAGCCAAAGACCAACGCACAATATGCATCTATAAATGAGGTTGAAAAGATGTACAAGACTTACGCGGACAATGCCGGCTTTGATGTTCGTGTTCATGCAAAAAAAAAAAAAAAAACGAACAAGCACGACGATATTCAAACTAGGTGGTTGGTCTGTAGCAGGCAGGGAACCCCAAGAAAAAAAGATTTTGATTCGTTGGATATGCATGCGGGTGAGAGGAGATACCGCAATACAAACATCAAACGTTCTGGGTGTAATGCATGTCTAAAAATACATTTGAAGAAGGATAGGGCTTGTTACGAGATATATGAGTTTGTTGAGGCACATAACCATGCATTGTTCGATATTAATTTTCGTCGTTTCTCTCGGAAGAATAGACAGATGAAGTATACAGACTTCAAAAMTGTACTAAATAGCTCGAGTTACAAAGTTGGTGCGAGAAGGGCTCACCGTATTCAAACCGCATTGAACGGGGGATTTGAACATACGCGAGTTTCCAAAATCGACTTCAAGAATTTTAAGAGGGATGCTGTTGCTTGTGTTGGGAATAAGGACACGAATATGTTGATCAATAAATTATCAAACAGACGGGATATTGTCCCCGTTTTTTTTTTCCGAATACAAGTGCAATGAACAGGAGTTGAGCGCAATTTTCTGGGCAGATGAAGTTGCTAGAATTAACTACAAATAATTCGGTGATGTCATATCGTTTGACGGGACTTTTCGCACTAACAAGTAAGATTCCCAAGTGCAATATAGTTATTGCCTTTCATAACGTTTCTATTTTTTTATTAGCATATGAACAGGCATACAATGATCTTCGTTCCCTTCTTGGCTGTTGACGACCATAAGGCGTCCGTTGTTGTCGAATCCGCTCTAATAAGCGGCAAGACAATTGATAACTTTTCATGGATTCTAAAGGCTTTTCTAAAATGTCATGATAAGCAACCTTTGTTCGTGATTACAGACCAATGTTCGACGATGAAACAGGCTATCCAGATGGTTTTCATGGAAGCCAAGCATTGACTCTGTCTGTGGCACATTATGAAGAAGGTGCCTTCAAAGATAAGTAGTATATTATGAATTCTATTTCATTTAAATGAGGTTTTTGTGTTATTTGTTCATTTGTTGAATCCTTGTAACCCCAGGTTAGTGCCGCACTAAATCATGATCCTAGCTTCAATAAAGTTATCAATAAGCTCGTATGGAACATACATATTGGGCCAACGGAGTTCGAGACTCGGTTGGCATGAGATGATACATCAATACAATCTAGGTGGGGATACTTGGTTCACAAAGATGTATGAAATCCGACACTCATGGATCCCTGCCTATTATAAGGACACACCGATGTTTGGACTAATGAAAACAACATCAAGATCTGAGAGTTTGAATTCGTATATTAACATATACGAATCGTACTGGTTTGATTTGGTTCAATTCCTTAATAATTACGACGTAGCTATAGAGAAACAAAGATACAGACAATATATCCACGAAAATGTCACGAGAACGACTAATCCAAAGTTTGCTACTCCGTTGCGTTTAGAAAGTCATGCATCAAGCATATACAGTCGAAACGTGTTTTTTGACATCCAAAAGGAAATAAAGAAGGCTGTTTGGTTTTGTAATATTGAGACCGTCGAATGCCGGGATGAGTTAAAGTCATTCGTGATAAGCCACAAGACCAAGAAATCATCTGACAAAATTACGTATCAGGTATCATATCTCAAACTCACATTCTACAAACTGATTCCTATGCTTCTTAATTTTATTTTGACTGTTGTTGTTTTTACTATTTTTGACACGACAGGTGTGCCGTAATTTCTCAACAAACACAGTCGAATGCGATTGCAACCTATTTACGCGTAACGGGTATCTTTGTTGTCACGCTTTCAAGGTACTGATAAACGACGAAGTTGAATGCATTCCGAAAAAATACGTATTACGTCGTTGGAAGCGACAGTTAGTTCCAATTCAGATACAATCTGCAAGAATGCGTTATGGGGATGTTGATGCCGAAAAAGATAAATGTATAATTGATGTATATTCCAAGGTCGACGACATAGTAAGCATCGGCCGCAATGATAAATCTATATTGGCTAAACTGGGGCGTAACCTCGACAAATTCATGGGTGATATAGAGAAGGAAGTTCCATATGAAGACCGATCACAACAAAAGTTGGATGTGATTAGAGACCATCTAGATGTTTCCATACCTGATGAGGTAGACATTCTACCACCTTCTGGAATAAGGAACAAGGGTTGTGGCACTGGCAAGAGGCTGGTAAGTGTGTCCGAGAAAATACAAAATAACATCAAAAAAGCGAAACGAAAATGTGCAACGTGTGGACAACACAGTGGTCACGACTCACATAATTGCCCATAATTGATAGATTAGTTAGCTTTCAATTACATATTTTTAAGGATATTTTCCGTTGCTTAGTTGTTGCTGTCAAACTGACGTATGTTCGTGCGACGTCGTTGCCTTGTAGTTTAGATTTCGGTTAAATTGTGTTTATTCAGACTATTGGTTATGTCGTTTAGTTTTTTTTTATATGTCATGCGCCTTTAAGGATGTGTTTTTCTTTAATATCACATTATGTTCCAACCGTGTATGTGACACCGTGTATAACATATACATTTTCATTAACTTTTTTAGATTAAAGTATATACAGTTAAACGTTTGAGCACCTACTACAATGCCACATGTAGACAGAGTTTAACAATAATTGTATTTTGATACACTAACATATAACTAACAGTAAGGGGCTCTTTGGTTTGGATTAAGTCATACATGGATTAAGCTATCAGTAGTGGTGAACCAATACATAAGCAACCATACCCTAAGTCGGTTAATAGTTTGGGCATTTGGTATAGTCACCAAATAACTCACTAAATCCACATAACTAATCACATTATCAAAAAGTACAACTGTATCAACTGTCTAAACTTTTCCATGTATCACCTCGGGCTGGCAGAAATGATAGGATAGCTTCAATTTTAGGTAGAATTTCACACCAAATATGAATACCTGAATCAAAAGTAATTGACCAAATATACCAACAGAAAACCATCTTATGTAGATGTTCTCCAGGCTATAAGATTCATCATGTTGTTCAAAAGACATACTTCATTTAAAAAAAAACATGTAGTTTCATGTCCAAAAACTGTTGCCCTAACATAACTGAACTAGATGATAAAGTTCGAAATAAAAACTAGAATTATTATAATGTCAACACCAACTACAAATTCCATCTACCCTTTCCCCCGACCTTTATGTGTATCACCATGCTTCTTCTTCGCATTGTATGACGTCTCCATTGCGATGAATTGATGTACATCTTTTATGACCGCACTCTTTCTGACGTTCTCCTCACTGAGTATGAGTTTGGAGCAGTACTTAGTCCGCAAATCCTTGAGTTGCCTCTTTTGCTTCGTGCTCTCCTTATAGAGACCACAGTCCCATTTCCCACTGTCACCTCCAAAAAAGGTCTCCATATGCCGCATGAGCATTACACCACAATCGATTGATCCTTCATGGGACTGCCACCTGGTTCGGATCTTTTCTTGGTCCGTTTCTGTATATATTTTCCCAGCCTCATGTCCCTCTCTCATTAGATGCATAATCAGCATGTCTTGCTGAATAAATCATAAATAAATATAGTTAGTTATGGTGTATATTGTGCATGCAGACTGTAAGACCAATAATAAAGTATACTAACCAAAGATATAGTAATAGATCCATAAATATCTTCAATCGTTCCATCACGATCCGTAGAGTCAACAATCATGATTGAGGGGTGCTTTAGATCAAACACTACCATGTAATAGTAACATCTTCTACGATCGGGAAAAATATCTATAGAATGAATATGGAACCTAGTTGTTAGTATTTCAATACGCTTTCAGGTATTGTACAATTATCTTCATACCAAAATGTGATACGTACCATGTCAACATTACGCATACCGATCAACCCTTTGTCATTTAGTGTGTAGCTTGATATGATATTTTGGAACTCTGGTACCTTTTGTGCACATCTAAAGATTGATCTCTCATGATTGGATCCATCAGCACACAAACAAGGTAGTTAGTTTCAATTAACAAAGACGTGCGTTCTTTGTAGATTTCACATAAGAGGTATTAACATATGAAACTTTACAATTCAAATAGTCAAAGGTGTTTTGGTTCATTACTGTTCAGCTGTATGAACACGCGACATAATTGACATGTTGACGCACATGAACAATTACATTACATGTCATGGGATAATAAGACCAAAGTCACACACAACATATTAACAACCAAAGTAAGAAGAATGTGTTCATAACGGTTCGTATGCACAACAACATCACATGAATAAAATCATAATTTCGGTTAGTATGCCATGTCGGTGTTCATATCCCGTCATGTGCACCAGTAACTCAGATGAATATATGATTCGACTCGGTTATGTATGCATAACAATTATAAGAAGTCTATAAAGACGTATGTTCACAAGGTCGACATATTGTCTGCGTTAAATTAACATATGATCAGTCTATGTTATTGTTGTGAACAATATGTCCATATTACTCATATCGTCGGTCTTGTGATTGCTGTGAATAGTACTCCATCACAGTTAAAAAAACCGATAGGTGTGTTTACGATCCTCATATAAAAAAATTTCATATTTCGGCCGAAATGTGCATGGCTCAGTTGAGTTTAACCTAAATCACAGACCTCGATCTTGTGCTCATACGTATCGATACGAACAAGATCATTACCCAATGTTCAGTATCTGTGATAAATGTGAACACGGTAATGATCAACATTCAAGGGTCGTGTTGAAAAACACACGAAAACAGAACATTAATCACACAAGTTTATGATCAACATTCAAGGGTCGTTTGAAAATCACATGAAAACAGAATTAATTACACATGATTATGATAAAGATTCAAGGGTCCCCTTGAAAAGCACATGAAAACAGAACCAATCACATCGGATTATGATCAAGATTCAAGGGTGCCATTAAGGAGCACAAGAAAAAAAAACTAATCACACAAGATTATGATCAAGATTCAAGGGTCCTGTAAGAAGCACAGGAAAACATAATTAATCACACAAGATAATGATCAAGATTCAAGGGTCCTGTTGAAGAGCATATGAAAACAAAACTAATCACACAAGATTATGATCAAGATTCAAAAGTCCAGTTGAAAAGCACAAAAATTGTCTAGTATCATCTAACTCGTTTTTGTTTGTTCCATGGTTTTAAAATCGTGTAAGGCTTATGCCTCGAGGCGAGCCGGCGCCTAATGGACCCTGGACGAGGCTTACACCCTGGTTCAATGAGGCGGTTTGTTCAGATGTATGTTACCTTGGTGGACATATGGTTAGAGTTAATGTGACTTCGTACGGGCACAAATGACCACACACGTCCACCTTTTGCATTAACACTCAGTCACGTGTGTGTATATGTCTACTTGTGGATTCATACATAGCCGATGAATAAATCCACATCTGCCGTGCCCCAGGGAACATATAGTTTAACGCTTTGAACATCTGTGTGCGCAGCAAGTAGGCAATATAGAGTGGCAGCGGGTCAGATAATCGAATGGACGAACACAAAAGGGAACCATTATCGTCCGAAATGCGCATGAAAAATGTTAACAACTGTTACTTTGATATTGGACGTTGATTTGATCATCTACATGTTGTCATTTGAAATAAGAAACTTGGGTAGTATGTAAATATACTGAAACATATGTCGGATAGAAAAGGCGGCGTGGAGATTCATGGCTCCTTAATCTTTCTTCCTTGTTGAGGACTGTTGACCATGCGTCCAAAACATCTTTGCAAACCCAGGACTGGGATGCAAGTGATTGCATTGCTTTCCATGTAACTGTTCGTCCATTTGGTGAGGAGAAGACTGGCTCACTGCATAGTTACATTCATAATATTATGTCATCGAGTCATAAAAAATATATTTGTTATAACAAAATATTAAACATTTCAATGATGTGACTTACATAATTCCACCGATCCCTCGCATTACCCACTCTTGTAGCTTACGTTCATCGTTAGTTACGTCAAACGTAACAGCCTGTGAAACATAAGGTGACCGTAGCTTAAAACTAAGCTTTGGATCCCTCCTTGCGCGTGTACTATCCACAACCGGAACGACTTGCTTATCGCATGGGCTTAACCCCAGATCAAACAATAGTGGATTGATGTCACCATAAGAAACAATTGGCTGTTCACTACTTCCTTGCGTACACTTAACTGCTCCTTCATCACCTCTCTTACACATCTTTCGTGACTGACTTTCGGACTGATCAATAGTCTTATTTTGAACACTTCCAACCTTGTCCACCTGTGAAATGAATGATGGACTCTTTAACTGTCCTCTATGATCAACCTGCTTACTCGACCGCATATTATATCTCGTTAGATACGCGGACTTCTCATTTGAAGCCCTATCAACCTCAGCGATCACTGTTGGACTTGTCCATAACTGAGATGGCGGGAAAATTAAATCAGCATCCGATATGGTCGCCACCTTCTCAGGTGTTACCTCAACAATAGCCAAAGTGGGCACGTGACCCGTCGTTGGCGGTGTAGCATCTGCAGTGGGTGGCTATGACTGCTCATAGACCGTTGGCTCTATTGTTTGGTTGTACCATTTGCTCCCTTCAAGTACTTGTGCTAACTTATACTTGAATTCTTCAATTTCAACGTCCCCGGGAAATCGGTCAATAAGCGACTGTAGATGCAGATCTGCCTCATCTCTTGCGGTAGACAAATCATCAATCTTATTCCACATACTCTTAATGCATTCCTGAAAAAAGAAAAGGTCAAACTCTTAAAACGCATACAAATATACCATATGTACTAAAAACATTAACATCCTACTTCGTGCTTTTTATGTTATGAACTTATACTAACTTGATGCTTTGTTATCACGCCGATTTATTTTTAAAAATTATAACAGTAAAGTACTTATTAAAGAGGGTACCGTATCGGTTGCGCCGTTGTTATATGAAATTGATTACGTAACAAACATATGTTCGTTCACAAATAGACAAGTTAAAGTGTTAAAATGCTTAGGTATGAAAATCTAATACTTCGGATAATAAGTATGGATTAAAGTGTACTCTAAATTACATGAGAATAACATTTTCACATAAAAAATGTCAAACGAACACCATCTAACTCAACTTATATTATAAATAAATATATCCAACTATTATATAGAGTTTATACATTTACCTCCTTTGTCATTCCATCATCACTCTCTTGATTATGCCGACTTGATTCCCCAATGTCCTTCGCTGTCGTACACGGTTCACTATGCTTGTCAACTGGTGCATGCTCGACGTTCGACACATGTTTAAACTGCGCATATCCCAGTCCACCACCTCTAATCTCAACCTCTTGCCTTTTCCTCAACAAATCCATCGTTCATGCCCTCAAAGGAGGTGTCCCGTCTTCGACTTGAATACGTGCACATGATGTTGAATGGA